TGTCCTGGACCCGGTGGCCGGGCGCATGTGCATGCGTGCCCAGGATCCCGAGAGGAGAATGGAGGAGAAGGGATTGCGGCATGACCATCCTGGGGGGTGATTTCTCGCTTTCTGTCTCTATGTCTCTCTCTGTCTGTCTGGCGAACGCACGCGCAGTACAGTGAAAATCTCTCCAAAAAAAAAAAAAAAGTTTCTTATTTACATTTAATTGCCGTACATCTTTGTGGGGTACAGTACGGTTAAAGCGTGTGTACAGTGTGTGATAATCAAATCAAGGAGGATATTACCATGTTGATAATCATCAAGAAAGATCAGTACATTATGTTCTATACCTTCAATTTTTAAGGAATTATTGTTAATTGCTTTAGGTGTCATTTGGTTTTGTCATTTTCTAGAGATACATAAGGTACACTGAGAGCTAAAGTAATATGCTGTCTAGGATTTCCTTCACAATGATACGAAATGGTCAACTCAATAATCGTTGAGGGACCAGCAGTTGGCGTAACAGCCATGTCACTGGACTCCCATGTAGTTGACCACAGTTCAAGTCCCAGACACAGTGGCTTAAACTCACACCAGGTGCGTGTGCGTGCGTGCCCAAGATCCCGAGAGGAGAATGGGGGGGAAGGGATTGCAGCGTGGCCATCCCCCCAGGGGGTGATTTCTCGCTTTCTCTCTGTCTCTCTCTGCCTTTCTGGCGAGTATATGCGCCCTGTAGCAAAAACCTGTCCAAATAAATAAATAAATAATTGTTGAAGTTGGATAATGGAGTCAAAGGCATCTGTTTTTGTCTGTTTGAAACTCTCAATTATCAAGAATTCAAAATACATTTTTAAAAGTTACTTAGTATTCCTGTATCTTACAGTTTTCTATTTTTCATTCATTTAGGGTTTTTTGTTTTGTGTTTATATGTATAAAGGAAATTTTCATAGTTCTAGATAAATTGTCCACAAAAAGTTTGTGCTAAATTATTCCTCTAACAGAGTACTAGACGACCTATTTCCCTAACTCTAACAGGCACCGAGTATTAGCAGACTTTAACATATATTTCACTCCAATGTGAAGAGTTGGAAAAGGAGACTGGACGTTGATGGCCACTCAACAAGGTTCTCAGGGTGACCTTCCAGGTCTGTGGTCACTCCATCCCGCCTAGTCTTCTGCTCCATAGGTTCGGAAATTCCATCTGGTGTGTAAGCCACAGATAAAAGGCTCTGAGAGGCTGGCTCTAACTGACTAGACCCTCAAGGGACAGATGCACAAACCTGAACCATAATCATCATCATCCATAGTGTTTATATTTACCAAGTGTGTTTACTTGGTAATATTTACTACATGCCAAGCCCAGTTCTAAGTACCTGAACCCCTTCACTCTTACACGATGTATATGTATTCACATTATCCTCAAGGTACAGATAAGGAAACTAACGCACAGAAAGATTAAAGAAATTGTCAAAGCTCACATAACTAGAGAGTGAAAACGCTGAGATTTGATCAAGGCCATCTGAGCCCTAATTCCAGAGAGAGAGGGGAAGGGAAAGCAAGCCACCAGGTCTGAGACTCAAACTGCAGTTGGCCATGTGGGAGTCCAGCACCTTTAACCACCACGCCACCTGCTGGGCCCTAATTTTTATTTATTTTTATTATTAGTCTTTAATTTAACCAGAAAAACAGAAAGAGAAAGAGAAAGCAAGTCACCAGGTCCAAGACTCAAACTATGGTTGGCCATGTGGGAGTCCAGCACCTTAATCACCATGCCACTGCAAGCTCCGCCATACTGTTCATTTCTTTTCTTTTCTTTCTTTTTTTTTTGTATTTTTTGAGAGATTTTTTTACTATAGGTTACATGGGTTCACCAGAGAGATAAAGAGAGACAGAGAGATAGAAAGCGAGAAATCAGTCCCCCAAAAGGATGGCCATACTGTAACCCCTTCTCTTCTAGGGAATTTTAGAGACACATACACACACACTTCATGTGAATTTCAAGTTGCCAGGTCCAGGACTCAAACCATGATCAACCATGTGAGAGTCTAGCACCTTAAGCACTACGCTATCTACTACCCTCACCTCCCCGCCCCCCGCCCCGTGCTCTTAATTTCTAATAAGAAATGAGAGATTTATCTAAAGAGCACATATTCAGGCCCACTGACCCACCTATTGCTCCATGAAGGCAAAGCTGCATGCAGAGCCAAACTCTAATAAGGCTACTTGCAGTGCATGGAGTCAGGGGCCCATGGTGCTGCTCTCAGCCTGACTAGCCTGAGATGACCATTTCCACTTAAAGGCCAGCGCCACAGTAGTAAACAGACACTCATTTGAGAGTCAGGATGCCCTCTAACCCTGAGAGTCAAAAGACGGGCAGAGATCACATGGCCCCTGAAACTTGGACTTTTCTGTTTTCTGTGTCATTTAGCTCCCTTCTGTTCCCACAGTCAAGTTAGCCTAGCAGCCAAATGGTTTCCTTAAAGCCAGTTTACATATGTCTGGTCAATCCTGCAAGATCCAGCTCTGTCTACCTGTGAAACTCATGTCACTACTCTCCTCTTTGCCTTCGAAATAATGCCCACACTAGACTTCTTGCAGTTCCTCCTCGCTCACTCTTTCTCACTATCCTCGTCCATGCCATCTGCTGCCTGGAACATTCTTTCATTCCAGCCTCTTATCCTAAAAGTCCTCTCAAGGAGGTCTTTCCTGCTCCCATCAATGTTAAAGTAGGGCAGTCATTACATCCTCTGTATTTATTCTTTTACTGCCTTAATTCTTGTCACCCTTCATTATAGTTACTGGTTTAATATGTCTCCCCTACTAGCCTCTGAAAGTCCAGAAAGGGGGCTGGACAGCAGCTCAGTGATTGAATGCACTTCTCTGTGAGACTGACCCATAAGGAAAGGTTCTGGATTCACATCCAGAGACAATCTCCCCCACCAACACACTGGATGCTCGTATGCCTGTGACCCAGAATTGCCTGAAGTTGCAGGTGGATTGCAGAATGAAGACCCTGTTTGTGGTTCTCTCTCTCTCTCTCTCATTCTCTCTCTCTTTCTCTCTCTCATGGAAAAAAGAAATAAACTTTAAAGAGAGGGCCTAGTATGCTTGGCACACAGTAGGTACCCTGCAGTGTTAGCTAAACTTTATTGACTGTGTTTCTTTCATTTTTGTAATGCTTACCTGCGGTTGGGTATTTCAATGACTAAGTATTAACAGTGGTCTTGCACCAGGATATTTCAGTCCCAGGACATCTGGGGGGAATGGGAAGTTTGACTGATGGTTTATATTCATTCTCCAGGTCAGAGGCGCCCAGCTTTTCCACAGACAGAGTGGTGGTTCTATCTATTCATTTCATTTATCAAAAAAATGTACTGCAGATAAAAGAATTCAACAAAACTTTTAATTTAGTTGGTTACTTTATTAATAACAACATCTACACATATTTGAAAACACACATGTAGGAGACATAGGTGTGTTCAATTTGATGTCTGGAGCCCATGTGGATTCAGGAAACCCCAACAATCAACTCCAGTTCTTAGCAAAAGCAGATTTGAATAACTGATCAGACCATCAGTGTCTTCAACAAAATCTAGGTTTGGATAGAAAGATTCAATATTCTGTAATTCCACAAAATAAAAACCAAAATGCAATTGTTTTTGAATCTGAGAATTCAAAGGTGTGCACTCTTAGCAGCATGACCAGTGAACCAATCCCTTAGCTTCTCTCAATTTCCTTCATAAGAGGGATATTTACTCTAGTCCTGCCTATCTTGCAAGGCCTCCTAAAAAGCAAATGAGGTGGTGAGTGTAAATTAAAAGCTCAGTAAAATTAAAAGTGGGTGAACAAGAACTCAGGATGGAGGTGGAGAGAAAAAAGGAAAAGGGAAAAGGCTCTTTTCAATTTCAAATTTAATGAAATCCAATAGGTTACATCAACTGGGAAGAATACAAAGAAAATTCCTTCTTTGGTGCAAAAAGAATCTTATCACGCCCAGCAGCAGCAGCAGCTGTTACACTAAAGTAAATAAAAACAGATTTAGGGAAAAAGGTCAGGAACTTTTTCATTTCCGTTTCCACATACATCTAATGAAAAATGAACAGCACCCATCCATTTACAGAAGCGTTTTAGGAGGTGGGATTGGAAAATTAATTCGAAATTTAATTCAGTAATATTTAAAGTGTCCAATATGTGCCTGGCACTGACCGGTCCTGAAAATACAGCAGAAAACCAGAGGAGCAGTCTTCGTCAAGGGCTTGAGAACAAAGACCATAAAGGAGAAAGCAAAGGAAGCCGACAACTGCAGGCAGCTGCTACACGGAAGATAAAACGAGTGAGGCGGGAATAAAAGGCGCGCATTCTCGAGTGGATTACTTGGGAAGACGCCTATGAGGTGGCTTTTAAAACTAGATCCAAATGACAGTTCCTTGCAGTGACCTGAGACCGGCGCGTTCCAAGTCCATTATAGAGTTTAAAACACACACACACACACACACACACACAAACCCAGAAAAAACAGATTACCAAAGCCCCAACGTATCTAGCAGAAACCGAAGGGTACAAAATTCGGAGCGGCGCGGAATTTTGAATATTCACGTCACCCAATCAGGTAAAAGCTGAGACCCAGCTGCGCGGGCTCCGCCCAAAGGGCACAAACCACTGGTATTCACAGGAGACCACATAGCGGGGCCGAACTGGTGACCACGAATACACAGTAGCTGCCAAGCTTCATTCCTACAGAGTTGTAACGCAGTGTCGTGGAGCCAGGGCTTCATTATTTCAAGGAGTCCACTCAAAAGGCTGAAGTCACTTTGTTTAGGACAGTAAGACAAACCCAACAGAGCGGCATGAACGCGACAGCTTGGGGTGGGGAGATATAGAAGCGGATCCCCAACATTCGAATTGACTCCTAGAAAACCTAAGACAGCGCACTCAGCAACTTCAGTCACGCGCTGGAAATCTGGAGTCTCGAGTTCAGAAAACTACGTGTGCTGCCTACCCACAACTTCCAAAATACTCTAGTTAGCTTTGTGAGTAGAAACTATGAAAAGTGAACGAAGCTCTTTTCTGACTAGATGGGTGGCTCTGAAAAGAGCCTTTGTAGTGAAGCTGCCAGCGGCCCGCCCGGAAGCGAGCGCGGCGTCCCGGGAGGGACTCACTTGGAGCTGGTGTACTTGGTGACCGCCTTGGTGCCCTCGGACACGGCGTGCTTGGCCAGCTCGCCGGGCAGCAGCAGGCGCACGGCCGTCTGGATCTCGCGGGACGTGATGGTCGAGCGCTTGTTGTAATGCGCCAGGCGGGACGCCTCGCCTGCGATGCGCTCGAAGATGTCGTTGACGAACGAGTTCATGATGCCCATGGCCTTGGACGAGATGCCCGTGTCGGGGTGGACCTGCTTGAGCACCTTGTACACGTAGATGGAGTAGCTCTCCTTGCGGCTGCGCTTGCGCTTCTTGCCGTCTTTCTTCTGGGCCTTGGTGACGGCCTTCTTGGAGCCCTTTTTCGGAGCCGGAGCGGATTTAGCCGGTTCAGGCATAGTAAAACAGTACACCGGGACAGATTTGCAAAGAAAAGAAGCAGGGGAAGGGGCGGGCTTGATCCTTTTATAACCACCTTATGCAAATTAGGGCTCCAAAAGTGTTTCATTTCCATTGGCTCATGTAGAGACCTTGCGTTTTCAGTAATGCCTACGCCACGACACTGACTGCTAACCTCATTGGCTGTTTCTGGAGCCAAACTACGACCAATGAAAAACTCGCTCCTGACCCCACCCCTAGGAAAGCTTATAAAGGCTTTCTTCGTGGCACTCTCTCGATCTTGTTTTGTTGCACCGTCTTGAGGCTTATCTGTTTTTGATCTCGCTCTTAGTGATGTCTGGTCGCGGCAAGCAAGGAGGCAAGGCCCGCGCCAAGGCCAAGTCGCGCTCTTCCCGCGCCGGCCTGCAGTTCCCGGTGGGGCGAGTGCACCGCCTGCTGCGCAAGGGCAACTACGCCGAGCGGGTGGGGGCCGGCGCGCCCGTCTACATGGCGGCGGGGCCGGAGGACCCGGCCGCC